CGTCTGACCCCCACACCCGGGCAAAACAGGAAGGGAGTGCAACAGAGCAGCAAGGGGAGCACAGCAACCAAGTCCCAGCGGAACTGCGAAACCAGACTTCAGACCCAGCGGGCGCCTCATCAGACTTGTTTAGAAAACATACATAAGGGTCAGCAGACAGACCTGGAACTATTTATAGGCCCCCCTCACCTTTTCCCCCCATATCTATCTATATAAAATAGGGAAGATAAATAATCCTGAGGAGAAAACAATGGAACCCAGTTTCCGGGAGGACAGGGGAGAGGGGGAAGTAGGGGAACGGGAGTGGGCAGCCAACAAACCCAGGGATAAAGGAACAACAAGAGATCTAAAATCGATGGTGAGGAGGGTGTAGTATGCCTGGTGGGGTTTGATCAAGTGAAATGTAGCCGAGAGGAATTACTGAGAGCTGAATGAAGGTTGAACATGATAGTGGGACAGGAGGAAAGTAAAAGGAAAGAAAGGAAAGAACTAGGAGGCAAAAGACATTTATATAGATATAAATCTATAATGTACATATGTATATATGTAAATATATTAGTATATAATGTATATGTAATGTGTATATAGTATATGTAAATATATTAGTATACAACAATAGGGATATAGGCCTATTCACATATATTGATATGTTAAGTATTAAGGAATCTGATAGATATTGGGCCTCTACTCATATACTCCCTCAAAGCAAGAACACTTTGTTCTAATAACCTGGCATTCTGTGATGCTCAATTTCCCGACATGATCACTGAAGTCAAAATGGGTGCATAAGCAAATGTGGTGAAGAAAGTTGATGGTGCCCAGCTATTGGAAGATACAGTGTCTGGGCTTGAAGTTAAACAAGCGACCATCTAGTAGGGAAGCAACAAAGCCCACATGGAAGAAGAATACCAGCCTGTGTGATCATGAGGCATTGATGGGATCAGGCATCAGGCATCAGAAGGCACAAAAAAAACCATTTCGTTGTGAATGAGGGGGGTCAAAATGGAGACCCAAAGCCCATCTGTAGACAATGGGGCATCCCTCACAGAAGGGTCACAGGGAAAGGACAGGCCAGCCAGGGTGCAGTATAGCACTGATGAAACACACAACATTCTTCTAGTTCTTTAACGCTCCCCCCCCCCACCCATTACCATGACCCCAGTTCTACCCTACAAATCTGGCTAGACTGGAGCATGTACACGGGTACAGATAAGCGCTCTCGGCACATAGAATCCAGGACAGATAAACCCCTGAGGCACAATAATTAGCGTAGTGATACCATGAGGGTAGGGGGATGGTGGGGAGAGAAGGTAGAGAAAGGGGGAACTGATCACTATGTTCAATGTAACAACAGAAATGTGGGTGAAGGGAGACAGCAGATTGTGAAAGATATGAAAATAATAATAATTTATCATTTATCAAGGGGCCACGAGGGTGAGAGGGGGAGGGAGGGAAGGAAAAAAGAGGAGCTGATACCAAGGGCTCAAGTAGAAAGAAAACGTTTTGAAAAGGATGATGGCAACGTATGTACAAATGTACTTGATACAACTGCTGTATGGATTATTATAAGAGCTGTAAAATCATTTTAATAAAATGATTTATTCAAAAAAAAGATAAGTACTCTCCACCAAGAATTCTATGCCCAGCAAAAATCTTCAAGAATATTTCAGATAAAATGAGAGTTTGCTATCAGTAAACCCTCACTAAGCCAAAAAGCAAGCAAGATCAACAGCAAACACTATGAGGGGTGTTTTCAAAAGAAAGAAATGTGTGCCTACAGAAGTTGAGAGATGTTACGAAGGAGCAAAAACAAAAAAGAAATCTTCATTTGGCTACAATGGCTGGAACCAAACAAAACTATTCAGTATCTGCATAAAACAAACTTTTGCAAGTGTTAGTAGTGACAATTAGACTCAAATAGTTTCAAATAACAAAAAGGTTTACTAGTTGTGTCTGCTGTCTCAGACGATATAGCTTAAGAAACACAAGGTAGGAAGACCATCATGTGCTATCCCTAGAATGAATGTTTCAGCAGAATTTCACATCAAAGCTATAAACACATCCAAGTGTTTATAAAGTAGCCTGGCTCCCTTATTTCTTTCTGCCTTCTTCCCAGAGTCTCTTTCTGTCCACTAAGCAGAAAGGTTATGATTCTGAGTAACAGATGATGTCTACACTGAAAATTTATGATGCAGTTATAGCAACATTTTGGAAAGTAATTATGTGACAGACTCTATCAAATGCTGTCAGATGGTTGGGCACTTAATTAGTTGCCACATGTGTTGTTTTGTTTACAAATATGAAGACAGTAAAAGCAAGGAAATGGTTACTGCAAAATTCAGGATGGTTTTCTCTGGGTTATGGTGGAGATGTGGCTGAGAAGTACTAGAGCTCTGCAGGCACTAGTAATGTTCAGTTCCTACCCCAGGTAGGGGGTACACCTGTGTCTACTTAGTCAAAACTGGTAGTTCCTGCTCTGAATGTTATTTATTCCAGTGTGTCTTTAAATTTGTAGGTAAGTTGTAGGTACACTTGTAGGTAAGTTTGTGCATACAGTTACTTTGGTGCAAGAAAAGTCTTGAAGACTTTTCAACAATTTAAAAGTTTCACGTGCAGCAAGTGAAGGTGATGATGATGATTTCTTGGTAGTAATGGCTGATTCAATCATTTGAAAGTGAGGGCAAATTTGCATAACATTCAAGGGCAAGTATGAGTTTTCCTTAAGGACATTTGTAATCTGGGGATTTAGTGTATCCCCTAAAGTATACATATAGGAGGGGGCTTCAGAAAGTTTGTGGGAAAATCCTACTATCTTTTAATTCTATCTTCCGTGAACTTTTTTGAAGCCCCTATACTCAGGACAAAGATGAGGGGTTCTGTTCCCATTAAGAGTTACAGTTTCGGAAATCCATAAGGGCAGTTCTACCTTGTTCTATAGCATCAGTATGAGTCGGAATCCACTCTATGACAGTGAGATTTTTGTTTTTAGTATAATTTACATTTCTATAATTATATAAAGTATGCTCAATTGAAACAAACATGAAATAAAACCAAAATTCAAAGTTTTTCTACTGACTCAAAGGCCCTACACAGTCTAACTCATTAAAGGTGTTCTAGTGGAACGATGGGTAGACATTTAGCCTGCTAACCACAAAGTTGATAGATCACACCCATCAGAGGTGCTGCAGGAGAAAGTTGAGGTTGCCTGCTACTGTAAAGATTTATAGTCTGGGAAGTCCTAGATGGGGTCAGTAGGGGTCAGAATCCACCTGATGGCAGTGGGTTAATCTTAGCGCTTAACATTCTCACCTGTCACTCCTCTTTGGCTTCCGTGTCCTGAGTATTATATCTAGAACAGCCCTCCGTGTGTTTACATTTGCTGTTCTTGTTGGCTAGAGTGAGCTTCCCCATTCTCTCCCTGCTCCCTCCCTGTCCCCACTCCCCAAGATTTCCATTTGGCTCTTCCACTTAATTTAGGTCTTTCCTCAAATTGGCTGTCCCTGATTTACAACAGGGTTCCTCTCCAATGGTTTCACCGTTTTGATGTAAGTTGGATGCGTCATTTTTTTTTAGGTTTTATTGTTATTGTTTGTTGTTGTTTTTAGTTTTCATTATGATTACTTTTATTATCAGTGTCTTTATAAATCTGCTCCTTGTTTTTCCTACAGGTATTATGACATCAGCAATGACACACTATATTGTATGACGCACGTGTCACTAATGTTAAGACTGATGGTAGTAAGTGCAGATTGACCGAACTCATCCTAAGTCCCTGATCAACTTATTCCCCATTTCTTCTACTCAGTCTCACGCTGTCTAAAACCATTACCTAGTATTCTCACTGATTTCAACAAATAAGTGTCACTATTTGTTGACAAATTCACGATAGAGAATACATCAATATCCAAAACTCTAATACTCATTTGAAAGCTCAAATTTCAACCCTGGCAATAAACACTGATATTCGTCTTCTTTGACATGACAGGATCACTTCATGTTTGAGGAAATATTTGTTAAATACTCACATTTACATAGCCATCGTTTGTTTGCTGGATAGTCTTTCACAAAAGAAATGGAGTCCACGAAAAAATTAAGGTTGCTCACAAATCAAAGACAACCATCATCCTATTTGGGAATGCAACAGAAGTGCTTCATGTGAACTCCCGTGTACTTACACTGAATACTAAACATATATGTACTAAAGGCAAAAATGAACCCATTTTGACTGCTTTATCAAGGATGTATTTAAGAGAAACTAACAATTTTTAGTGTGAATATGCTGCAGAAGGATACATTTACCGTTCGGTGTTAACTGTTTTGATTCTGCAAAACAGGCGGTGTCAAAGGCCAGCTACCATCTTGCTGTGTGCTGTGCAGTCAACTCCGGCTCATAGCCGCCTCACGTGACAGGGGAGAACCCTGGGGTGCTCAGGGCTGCATTCTTTATGGCAGCAATGACCAGGTCTTTCTCCAACAGGGCTGCTGGGTGGGTTCGAACAGCCACACTTTTGGTTACAGCTGAGCATTTAACTGTTGTGCCCCCCACACTCACTCCTACCACTTTCGTATTTGTAGTGAGTTTGAACTCACAGACCCCCTGAAAGGGTTTGAGGGCTCCAAAGGACCCTACAGACCACTTGCTGAGAACGGCCATGGCTATACTTCACAGTCGCTCCCCGCCTCCCAGTGATATTTAGCCATTTCTACTCTTCTAGTTTAACATTACAAAGTGGCAAACAGTGACAACCAGTCCATTCTGATTCACAGTGACCCTTTAATGCAGAGTGCAACTGATTCCCCTAAGGTTTCTGAGACTGTCCGTCTTCATAGGGACAGACAGTCTCATTTTTCGCCTGAGGAGTGGCTGGTGCGTTCCAACTGCTGGCATTGTGGTTACTGGCCCGATGCCTAGTTTAATAAAGGTTTTTTTTTTAATTAAACACATACACACATACAGATGCACACAATGAACCAAAGAAGGAGCTAAAGGAACAACTTACCTGGGGTTTGCTCATTTTTCTGCTACTCGTGGAAAAGGCTACAAATTATGAAACCAGAGCAGGGGAAGTTGGAAGGCACACGTCATAAAAGGTCTTATTTTGCAGTTCCAGGAATCACCTGTGAGAAATTTCCATATATTTTAGTAAAATATTTCTTCTGGGGAAAATGTTCCTTTGATCCATCCAAAGAAACAGGGAGGAGCACAATGAAGGAGGACCCATCTGGCTAGAGGTGACTCTGATCTATCTACTCTTGATGAACACGGGACATTTTCATCGAATAAGAAAACAGTTCTTTCCCATTGGTTGTTTTGAAAAGTATATATCATTTACTGAATAATACAAAATCATAAGCCAAACCTTAAACACCGAAAATAGCACATTAGTTAGGCAAAGTGTATAGTATTTCCAAGAGAGGAATCTTAAGCCAGCATTGAAAATGCTGTTGAAGAGAAATATTTATTGATATGAAAGTGTTTAAGTTACATCACAACAATTTTTCCTATTAATATTATAGACCCCACCATGTTTTGTAAGCTTTCAAAATGAGATTTTCTTTTCCTTCTCAAAATCACTTTCCCAAGAATCCTGTTTTGATTTAAATAGAGAGGACCTGAAGATTTCAGCTCTCCCCTAAGCTAGGAAACCTAGGTAGTGTATTAGTTTCTAGCTTATTATATTTAGGAAGAGGCAGAATTAGATAATCTTGAACAAGCCTCCAAGTACCATTTTCATTCAATAAACATTCACTTAGAGCCACAAATCCCACACAGTGTCCTCAAACTCACTGTTCCCGGGAACCTCCCGATAGGCCTCATGTAAATTTTTCCTCCAACAGTTTTATTGGCATATAATTCACATCTTATACAATCATTCAATCACACCAAGAACAGCTGTACAATTATCACCACAATCAGTTTTAGGATATTTCTTCAATCTTGTACTCATCATTAGCTCCTATTACCCGAAAGGAGCCATTAATCCAGTTACTGTCTCTATAGATTTACCTATCCTGGATTTCATAAATAGGAAAACATTAAAAAACAAGCAAACAACAATGAAAAGCTAATAAGAATAACAAAGTAAAACATGAAAACCTTAATAGAAAAGAAGGCAGAAAATAGACTTGCTAACATGCAGAATGTATTGGAAAGTGGACTGTTGTAGATGCAGTTAGGTTAATATTTAGCACCCTATCATTTAATCTCCCTTATGATCAATTTAAATTTGTTCTAGTTCTTAATATTTTTTAAATGTAAATTTTAATTGGACCTTGAGGAACTCTGATATGGCCATTTGGTCTGTTGACATTGGCAGAAACCCAAATGTAACTAAAATATAAGTGAGCACTATAATCCCAAATCAGATATATACACAGATATGGAAACAGCAACCAGAAGCCATAATTTTGAGGCTCTTCTTATGCCGCAGAGACCACTTCATTAGTTACGCACGTCAAACCAATAAGCTCCGAGATCATCACCCAAACAGAGGCGTTACATGACTTTCATAATATGAAGCATTAAATGAATTGCAGTTTCCTGCGTTTAGATCTCTGTTCTATCCCCCCCCCCCTCTAAATGACTAATCTCTTTTCTGGCTCCAGTGTCTCCAGCAAACCTTAAAACTGAGGTTTCAACTTTAGGTTTCCATTTACATGTTCTCTGAGGAGTCAGGCAGGGTAGAAGCTGTAGAAAGGGTGTGTGTTAGCCCTTTGACTCGGGGATTCTGAGGATAGTCCAAGAATATTTGTTAACAGGATGGCAACATGTTAAGATGACGCTCAATTATGTTCTGATAGTAATCAGGAACAAATAGTGTGCTAAATACAACCTAAGACTGGATTTTTAGTATGGTTACGAGCATGACGCAAATGACCATTTAAATCTTAACCCATGTATGTACTCTGTTGTGGACTTCAAGTCTGCCCCTCGTGACCCTATGTGACAAAGCAGAACTGCTCCGAAGGATTTTCTCGGTGCACAGGGCAGGTGAAGCCTTGGGCTACTAAATCGTGAGGTCGTGATGCGGTTCAAACCCACCAGCCATTGTGCCAGAGAAAAATAAGTCTGTCTGCTCCCATAAAACGTGCACAGTCTCAAAAACCCGATGGACAAGTCGGATCGACTGTCCCCGCAGGGTCACCGTAAGTTGGCATCCTGTGGGGGCAGTGACTCCTTGGGAACGACCCTGGCGGTGAAGTGGTTCCACGCTAGGCGGGTCCCCGGGAGCTCAGGAGTTAAATCGCCAACCTGTCACCGTCAGCCGGGTCGGGCTGCCAGGGACCAGCATCCTAAGCATCGTCTCCCCGAAATTTCAATTCATGGAAATGAAGATGTTAAATGCAGAGCGGAAGGGTGGTTGCGTGACCCCATGGTGGGAAAAAAGAAGAGCAGCATGCGTTGTGATGATGAAAACAGCTCGCCTTTATTTAATCCTTGTCGTACGTGGTCGACACTACACTAGTCCGGACAGAAAGCCAAGCCAGGGGGGCAAACGACTGGGTCCCGTCGGCTAATTATAAGCCCCTTTCTGAGCGCCCCGAGAGGAGGTGCGCACTTCCCGGCCCGGGATGCGAACCCGCGGCCCCCGCGTCCGGCCCGTCCCGAGCGGCGGCCCTACGTGGCGGGGTCCGGTGCCCGCTGCGCTCTCCCCGCGCCGGCAGCTGCCCTTGGCCGCGCGCCTACTAGTCGCCAAACCGCGGCTGAGAAGGCACCCGGACGCCTGACAGCTGGACCCTCAGGGCCCTCTCCCTGCCCCCCCCCAACCCCTCCCCACCCTGCCCAAAAAAAAAGATGGAAGCCTTGGAAGCCCTCTGTAGGGTCGCAACGAGTCAGAATCAACTCAATGGCAGAGGGTTCTTGGACCTATTGGATCTATG